GGCCAGCTGGGGATCAAACTCACTCATGCTGCAGTGGCTGGTGATAGCTTGATAACGCTGTCCCCTGAGCCACCAGGGAGGCCCTCTTTGGTGATTTTGGTTCATCCCCAAGTAAGCCGAGGGCAGGAATTCCCAACACGCTAACAAGGCTCATCTGCTCAGCAGATAAACATCAGAGCCAAGGACTGAAGAGTCAGCAACTGTCTTCATCCCTTCAGGACATCTTAAGTCCCAGCAAAGATCACGACCCAGGGTCAGAGCGTGGCCAGGACAAGGGTGAAAGCAAGCTCACCCCTTCCTATTCCTCCACTAGGAGTCTCAACAACTTTGCCGAAATAGAAGAAAACCTTTCAAGCCAGATCAATGAAAGTCTGCGTTGGGACGGTATCCTGGATGATCCAGAAGCAGAAAAGGAGAGGATTCGCATCTATAAACTGAACCGAAGGAAGCGGTACCAGGTTCTGGCCCTCAAGGGCTTCCACTCTGACTCCTGTGCCAAGGACCCCTCCAAGAACTTACTCTTCCTCTCAGATAAAGACGGCGTTATCAATAGCAGGCAGCCTCGGTGAGCTGAGCGCCCAGCCTGGACTTTGCTGGAAACCTGACGACCAAGCCCTTGCACATGGATTTAGCCACCACCCTGCCAGAATGAAAATCCACCCCCACACTGACAAACTTACAGTTCATCCTTAGCCTAAGTTTATGTATTTAAAAATAATAATAAAAGGAAACCAGATCTACTTTTGAAGGAAGCAGATGTCTAGCATATGGATGAGGTCAACCTCTCCTTTCACCAAGATGCACTTCATTGCCTAGGAAAGCTACAATTTAAGAACATAAGCTACATGTTGAGCAAAGTTCTTTCTAGAATTTCCTTTTTCTTAAAGAAGCTGGCATCTCTTATTTCATTTCTCATCAGTTAGATGTCTATAATCTGACCCCCAAAAGAGAAAGTAGAGATTATATCAATTCTAAATGTTTAACTAATTTCAGGTGTAAAACTGTCCAAGGAAAACACCTCACACATTCTAGAGGCTTTTTAAAAAATATACTCCCTGCCTGTATGTGGCCTTTAAACTACATGGGTTTCAGAATTTCACCACTGGGAGGTTATTATGAGAAGTCTCAAAAGAAATCTTGCTTTGCTCATAAATATGGTCTTTCTCTATCTCCCGAGGCATTTAAAAATATATATATATATGTATATATATATATATTATGCATACAAGAGCCAGAGTGTAGGCCAGAGGTGTGGGGGCAGGGAGGGTGGTTGGTGGTGATAGGATTCACCAGAGACAGAGTGGGCAGCAGAACAGGCAGATCAAGGTAGCTTCACAGAGCTGAGACTTAACCCCTTGTGCCATCAGGAAGGCCCACCCCAAGACAGCCTTTTTTTTTTTTTTTAAAGATTTATTTATTTGTACATACAGAACTGGGGTACAGGCCAGAGGCTCAGGGGCGTTGAGAGGCTTCACCAGAGACAGAGTGGGGAGCAGAACAGACAGGTGGACTAAAATACACTGCTGAGGGGAGCAGCAGGCAAGACAAGAGAGGTCTGCTGTGCCATGTGGGTCAGCTCCCTGGCCAGGGATTGACATGTGCACCAGTGGCTGCAGACAGCTTCATAGTGCTGAGACTCACCCCTTGCATTGCTAGGCCGGTGCCAACATGGAGAATTTTATCGTCGTCTTGGCTTAGCTTCCAACTCTAGAAATTGCAGTGGCAGGTACCTCATACTGTCAGCAGAGGACACCAAAGTTTTCAGGGAGTAGGAGGTATGAAAACGTAAAAAAGGGATTTTTTTTTTCCCTTTTCTCTTTTGGAGAGGAGAATATTCCCAAGAAATAGAAGGATGAGCTGATGAAAGAACCACAGTTTGTATTATTTTATGACCATGTTATATAATTCAGAAATGCTATTAATAAAAGTAAAAATCAGTACAAGCTACACGGCAGAAGTATTTCCTGGCTTGGCATGATACATCTTTCTGCAGGCAGAGTTAGGAAGCCTTCCTTATAACTCTCCATTCTTTCATCACCAAGTGTCTAGACTAGCGCGAGAGTCATAGACGCAGAGGACTGGAAAGACCCATGGCGAGGGAAGGAGAGTAAGTGGAGGATGCAGTAGGAAGCACAGGGTACTGAGTGTCAGGCCTGCTGTCACTCCTAGCCCTGCCACTGGCCACGCTTCAACAAGTCTGGGACTTTCAGAGCCTCAGTTTCCTCACCTGGAAAACAGGACCAAGAGCTTCTTCCACAGGACCTGGCTCTTAGTCTGTGCTCTATAAGTGGTTCCTTTCTTCCCAAAATGACTGAGCAAAAGCACACAGCACAGCCAGCTGGTGGATGTGTAGGGCTTGGTGGGAGAAGGAGGGAATTCTACTCCTTTACATCTTGAGTGACGTGTTTTTCAAGATTGATTTATTTACA